AAACCCCAAAACCCCAAAACCCCAAAACCCCAAAACCCCAAAACCCCATAACAATACTAATACCTTGATGTTTATAATCTTTATTAAAATGGAACAATATGATGAAATATTTTTCGAATGAAAAATCGCTGGATGCGATAAAAAATTCAGCACAAAGAAAGCCTTGAATGAGCATCGAAGGACTCATAAGGGTAATAGATCTTTTGTATGAGAGATCTGTGACCAGAAATTTACCCAGTTCAGCTCTCTACAGAAGCACCAGAGAGTCCATGATAAGAAAAAGCCATTCAAATGTGATTACGAGGGTTGTACCTCTGCTTTCACCCAAGTGTCAAATCTCATTAGGCACAAGAGGATTCACACTGGTGAGAAGCCATATAAATGTGATAAATGCGGTAAAAGCTTTGCTTCAGGCTCTAACCTAAAACAACATAAGAATACTCATAACTCCTTCAGGCGCCGGAAGGTTTATAAATGCAAATTCTGCGGTGACGATGATTCTAAAAATTACTTATACCAGTCTTCCCTTAGAAAGCACATGCAAGTTGCTCATAAGGAGGAATATGAAAAACTTTGACAAGAAAATGAGGTGGACAAGACTGCTGTAGTTAGGTCCAAGAAGGGACAGGTTTTCGTAGTTGAAACAATGGATAAGAAGGTAAGGTAAACCTTAAATATCAATAGGACTCTACAACTCCCTATGAAGGTACTTTAGACAAGAACTCAGCCACTGCTCAAGAGGAAGTTAAGGAACAACCTCAATCACAAACTGAGGTAATTGATGATGATGGCAAGAAAAGGAAAATAAGAAGGCTTGATAATACAGAGCAACAAGGAATCTCGAAAAGACAGACGAGGCTGATGTCAAGAGAGAGTTCCTTTGTGAGGCAATCATCAATGCTTAGTGAAATATCGCAAGCTGGGAATATTCACAATCTTAATGATCTTCTAGAAAGATTTGGTAGCAGCTTTAGTCATATGCCACTGCATATACAGAACGAGCCCTATGGAATGATGAACAGGAACGGGGATAAATATTTTGACGGAATAGATGAAGATATCCATGATAATTCTAAGCTACATCCAAATGCGTTAAAACCCCTTGATTTTGGAATCAGAGATTATAATCCTGCTTCATCATTCAGAAGTATAGGAAATAACAGCTTTAAGTTAGAAGACAGTTCATTTTCTCTTTTCAAAAAGCCAAATTTCCAACAAAATGCTCCAGGCCAGCCTCCCCATAAAGATTAGATTATAATTAAATAAAAATAATCGTAAGGAATCAACCTTAATCTACCAAAAGGGGTTTTGGGGTTTTGGGGTTTTGGGGTTTTGGGGTTTTGGGGTTTTGGGGTTTTGGGG